GAAGCTGAGGCATATTTGGGGTGTGGTATTGTCCTTAAGAAAAGGAAAAAAATGATATGGCTTGGGAGGCTTGAGATGGCAAGCACCCTGGTTTGAGCTCTGGGTCCCCATCTGCCTCTGGCTTTCTGTGCCACCCATTTTTGCTGTGTTGAGCATTTTCTTCTTCTGCTTCCCCACTGACACTGTATGGGGAAAAAGATTTCAAGGTAACAACATACACACAGAAGCACCCTACTTAGGAGGGTTATGAGAACGTTACCTTGAAATACTGCTTGTGATAGGAGCCTCTCTCCACCTGTGGATCTTGGAAGGAGCTGGGTGTGAGTGCCAGAGCTGGACAATGCCACACCCCAGGTGGGAGTCCTCTGTCCCTGCTGCCCTCACTACACATTTCTTCCTTCCTTTCCCCTTTGTCTGGTGACTGCACCTACCCCTCAGCTGGTAGGCACAGAGGCAGATGACTCACAGCCTAGCAGGAAAGGGGTCCCAAGGCGTGTACAGAGCTGGAGGCTGCCCTCTGCATTCCTCCCAGGTGGCCTCAAGCCCTTCTCACTTATCCCTTATCCCAGTTTGACCCAATTCCTCTAAAGATTCAAAAAGCATCTTCAGACATAGCCACTGCCCCCCCCCAGCATTCCCACCTGGTCAGTGTCACAGTGAGACTCCTCCCAGTTGGAAGCAGCATCTGGCCCTGGCTGTGGCTCATTGTCCCTCATCTGGCACCTACCCATTTCCCTCCCTGGGCAGCCTCTGCGCCCACCCATAGGGTCCTAAGCCCTCATAGAGGCCTGGCACAGAGCCCAAGACTGTCTTCCATATTTTATCTTTCCAATTCTGTTATATTTGATCAAGTTTAATAAAGAATTTACACCAAGTTAGAATGGATTCTGATTAACAGGGTCACAGAGCTTCCCGTCAGGCCTCCTAAGATGTCACAGGCACCTCTGTTCCTTAATCAAGGATAATTTAAGGAGTAGTATTGCTTCAAACTGAAATTCAAAAGTAAACAACACAGCCTGAGCATGTGAGACCAAGTGAGATTTCAACCCCAGTGTTCCAGAGTCTGGTCACCCTCCACCTTGGCCTTGCAACTCAGCTGTCTCTCATTCTCGATTTCACTCATTCACAACACCTGCTGATGTTGAGTAAGCTCCAGGGACCAAGTGAAGCCCCTAAATATGAAGAAGTGCTTGCTGTTCCTCCCTCCAAAGACCACAGAGGAAGGACAGGCACAGGGCGTAGCCCCATTCCACAGAGTGAATTTGCAGTACT